TGCTACGTCTACGAGATATACTGGCGTCACACGCCTGGGTCACTCTTTTTATCAGGTCCTTGGTCTTCTCTTCTGCGCGGCCTGCGATAATCTGGTCACTATTGAGAGCTACTAACGATGCACTTGGATCAAGCGTTTTTACCTTCCAACCAATGGTGTTGTTGCTTTTTAGGTCTTCTCGGGCTCTGGACGTTTTATATTTCCCAGAGAATCGCGTTGTGGTCGCTGGCTGTGTATGTATCCATCACCTTCCAGTTGATATTACCTTTGGTGAGGCTGTCACTGACGAAAGTGAGATCTACAATAGAATTTGCGTCTCCTTTGGTGTAGGTTGGTGTGTCACCACTGTTGAGCAGTACTACATCTAGTGTAGAAAAGGCTTCTAGTAATTCCTTTCTTCGCGCGTTTGTATGCTTGCTTCCCTAGTCTACTGCCCAGGCGTTGAAGTCCTCAGCTATTGCCACTAGGTGGTAATGCTTCGCATCCTTGGTAAGTCGATCCAGACATTCGGTGAATTCGACAGTAGAGAGGCTAGGTGGTGCGTAACAGCTATAGAAGCGGATGCCCTCTACTGATACTGCTACAAAGCCGGCATTGCTGTTGTCGACGGCATTTTGGAAAGGGAGCTTGCCACATGACCAGATGACAGCTTTGGATGTGCTGTCAGATTCCCAGGGTTGGGTGTGTGTATGTGTGTGTGTGTGTGTGTGTGTGTGTGTGTGTGTGTGTGTATGTATGTATGTGTGTGTGTGTTTTTTTCCCTTTAGGGGGGGGGAATCCTTTTTACGGATTGTAGGCATAGCTGTTTGGCCTGGATATGTGGCGACTCGACGCAGCGTCATACTAAAACTCGACGCTGACGCCCCTACCCACTAAACCCTAAACCCTTTTCTCTTTTATCCTCTGATCCCTCATGGAAACCGCCGTCAGGCATTACTTCGTGAAGGGAGGATCTAGCTACTGCTCTTCCTTCTGGTGACTAAGGTGTTAACTTCCTTCCTTCTGTCTTCTGATATTTGCTCTTCTTCTTTCGGTGGAACGCAAGTCTGTGAGGACTTCTGTTGCAAACTTGTTGGTAGCGTTCCAGGCAGCTTCGGATGACAACATTGCTTCCACTAGTGAATCTGGTTGCATTCTCTGGTTCAGGATTCTCTCCAACTATTCACGCTGTGAATCGAAACGAGGACATACAAAGAAGACGTGCTCCGCGTCTTCAGCAACTCCTGGGCAGAACGGGCATTCCGAAGAATCATCGTGCTCAAAGCGGTGTAGATATTCTCGAAAACACCCGTGTCCCGACAACATATGTGTAATATAGTAATTGACCTCGCCATGATTCCGGTTCAGCTAAATGTCGATCCGAGGTATGAGGCGGTGCGTGCACCTACCCTTCTCTGCGGCACCCCATTGTAGTTGCCATCGGCTTATACTGTTCTGCCGTTCTTTAATTCTAAGTTCTTTAGAGCTCAGTGTAGTTGACCTTTTTTTTATAGAGGAGGTAAAATACATTTACGTATGCCAGGGCTTGGTGTTGTTGCCAGGACTAGGTGTTGGTGCCTGGGTATGTCAGACTCGGAAGTCAATATTTGCAACAATACCAACTAAACATCCTCCTCTCTCCTTTCCCTATAGATGTTACAGGGATGACTGGAAACGGGACCGCGTTAGCATTACTTCAATCCAGTCCCTGTTGTGTCTCATGACACCTACTTCTTGTTACTAATTACTGGTTTCTAATCCCTTTCTGCGATTTTTTCTTTTAAAAGGCGCTGCGCGTAGGCTGCGACAGCTGACCAGTTTTCTTCTTTTTTTATCATGCAGGTTACCAAGCTCTCAGGGGAGAGCGTGGTGCCTATTGTTTCTTCGGTGCTGGTTCTGTCGTCCTTCCACCGAGCACACTCGAAGAATGTGTGTTCGGCGTCGTCGATTTTATCCGGGCAGTATTTGCATGTTGGTGTGTTGTGTAAACCCATCTTGAAGAGATAGGCGTTGTACTGCCCGTGTCCTGTCAGTAGTTGGGTCAGGAAAAAATCCGTGTCCCCGTGTTTCCGAGAGAGCCAGGCGTTGATGTTTGGGATCAGTCGCGCTGTCCATCTGTCTGTCTCTTCCGACGTCCATCGGTCCTACCACTCTTGCTGCGTTTCCGTTTTTATCCTCTTTTTCGCCTCCTTCATGTTTTCGCCGCCGATTTTAGCGTCGTAGAGTTTTGCTCTTTTGAACGCTAATAGGTCGATGGGCGCGGCTCCCGCAATGACCAATACAGCCGCTTCTGAAACTGTGCGGTAGGCGCAGGCAACCCTGAGAGCGCCTCGCCGCTGTACTGCTGCTATCTTTCGCCGGTAGGTCTTCTGCTTTAATATGTCTGCCCATATCTCCGCTCCATAAAGTAGTACCGAGTGGACTGCTTCTAGAAGAACTCTTCTCTTTTTTGTTCTTGGTCCCATGGTGTTGGTCATAATTCGTGCTAGGCTAGACACAGTCTTGCTGGCTTTCTCGCAATTTCAAGCGTTTAGGTATAGAATTGGCGGGAAGTTGCAGGGATGGCCTTGAGGGTCAACCGTTTTCCAGATTTTTTTTACAGAATTCAATACTAAAGAAGGATCAGTGATGGCTTTTCCGAAAAATAATGTTCTACATAGTTTGCAGGAGTAATGAAGGTTAAAAAATCATTTTTCCATGTTAAATCAATGGTAAATCTTCAAATTCGGTGATGGAGTTCTTCAAGTCTACATTAAGGGCTCAAATTTTTACTGAATTTTTTTTTATAGCATATACAACAAGAATTTCACATGCAATCGAAAAAAAAAATTATCGACTTTTTTTGGAACACCCTATTGGATATGGAGTAAGACAACTTGTTCAGAATGGATCTCACTGAAGACATCTCATTAGTTGGCAAAGCCGATGATATCTTAGTGCATTCTTACAGAGAAAGAAAATAATGAAGAGAACTGGTCATTCAGTGAGAGGGGTTTGTAAATGCGTCATGCAGTATAGAATGCAACTAGCTAAGACTAAAACCAAAGTAGCTGTTGCTACGTGCTAGCATCGAGTTAAGACAGATTTTACGGTATCTATCCACGATACATTTGTGAAGCTTAAGACTTCTACATAATATTATAATCAACAGAGATATGAAAAGCTTATCTCTTAGAGGTATCTGACAATAACTGCAGAAGAGGCAAGCAAAGATGTGACAAACCTAACCACAATAATGCTAAATACGAGCGGCCCAAGATACAGCAAGAGACAATTTTTGCTTGGCACCATGTACTTCATTGAGCTATACGAGCTGAAAAATGGGCATAGCCACTTCAACAAGAAAAGTATGAAAAAAAACTCGCGTCTGCAACGGAGAGCAGGACTGAGAGTCACTTGAACGTACTGCACTGTCTCTTATATCGTTTTGCAGTTAGCAGCTAAGGCTATTTAATTTTATTTTCTACCATTAAAGCGGAAAAGGAGACATCAATTTGGCAAGTTGAATTGAATCAGTTGAGAGCAAAGGGCTACTAAAATATTTCGGAGAAATATGAAAAAAATTAGTTAGAGTATAAACATTCTTCATTTGAATAATTTTCAATTTAATTGTAACAAGAGAACTATTCTATTATAACAGAACAGTTTTTAGTAGATCAAATTTTCAATATAGCCACCATCTTGTCCAACACAAGTTCGAAGACGTTGCAACAGCTGCGATGACAACTCTCGATCATCTCAGGCGTAACTGTGCGCAGAGCTTCTTCAAATCGCTGCTGGAGCATCATTCTATCGTCAATATTTTGGCGATACATTTTAGACTTCAAGTAGCTCAATATAAAAAAATTCAGCGGATTTAAATCAGGTGATCGTGGTGGCCAATCTGAAAATCCTCCTCGATCAATGTATCGGTTGGAGAAATGAGCCCAAAACCAGCCTCGCGCTTCCCCAAACGTGTGTGCTGGTGCACCATCTTGTTGGAACCATATTTTATCATGCTGTTGTTGAGTTATCCCAGATCGTAAACACAGTGCATGTAAACAACGGTCCAAAAAGTCTGTGTACGTGTTTTGATTGAGATTTTCTTGGAATTCGAAAGGTTCAACCTACAAATATCACCTGAAAAGTCAAAGAGTGACTATGAAACAAATGGATCAAAGTTCTACGGAACTTAAAATAGACATATTAAACATGGAGCTGCCATATACAACCCTACCCACATATTCATCGAAAATCGACGCTGATGACCTCGTTCGACACTTATTAGATAAGGATTCTTTCAAGCGTACCAATGAAAATTTTTGAAGTTTCAGAAACCTCCATGCTGGAAAGTGCACTCATCAGTCCACAGAATTTTTTTCAAAATTTGCGGATCCTGTTCATGCATGTTTTACAGCTGCGGACAGAATTCTAAGCGAATAGGAAAATCTTCAGGTTACAGTGCATCGACCCGAGTGTAATGGTACGCATGGAGTTCTTTAGATACTATCGTACGCTGAACTGTGCCGTACGATAATCCACTGCCTGACATTACACCTCAAATGACAATCTCAGGATTCTTCTCAACAAGCCGAATCATTCTACCCTCATTTTGTGGATTTTGAGCTCGTCTTTGTGCGCCAGCTAGACGGTAGTTACGTTAAACGCTGCCCGTTTCATTAAGACGTGCGTAAACACCGAGAATAACATGAGTGCTAAGACGTCGAGCACTAAGGGATTGCCCACAATAAAGACGGGCAGCTTCGTTAGCGTTGCAATTAGCTCTGCCGTACGGAAGAATCATGTTCGCGTATTCTCGCGCTGTATAATCACCCATTTTTGAAGTTATACTTCTTTTGGCGCGTGAGGGAAAAATCATGAGAGTAAATTTGTACGATGCGCACGCACACCGTCACGAAAAACCGATGCCCTTAAGTTAGCTAGTTAACATTTTAGTTTTTCAAAAAAAGTTACTAACAAAGTAAAAGTAAAGACATCTACGTATATTTACGTGAAGACTAGCAACTGTAATCACGATATTTATTCAAGTTTTTTTGAACCTACAACACGTATTTTGTATCATTCCGAATAAAATATATACAAATATATATTTTTAATTTTCCACTAAGAAAATTGAAGATTTACCAATAATGTTTGGCACTGTGTGTATGTGTGTATGGATGTATGTAAACCTCTCATAACTATTGAACGGCTTGACCAATTTAATCGCGGTTGATGCCATTCAAAAGGACTTGACTGAACTTAGATTTTGAATACACCCTGGCGGATTCGTGGTCACGGTAAAATGATCGTGAAACGACGATGAATGTACCGTGAATTCAGTGTCGACAAATGATCGTCGAATGACCGTCACTTGACTATCGAACGGCCGTCATTAGACAGTGAACGACGAGTATCATTGTGAAAGTTTTTCACTGTAACTTTATGATTTTCATTCTGTATAGTTATCATATTTCACTCTTCGAAAAACCAAATTTTTACTTGACTTCTCCGATTTTTAACCTAAGTAAAAATCGTAGATCATCGATCGATCATCTGTCATTTGACAGTCATTCGAAAACATATAAATTGTCAAAAAACCATAACTCAGTGGTAGATGCACAGTAGGCAGTAAGTGAAACGACCGTGAAACGAGCGTATAATGTCGGTAAGTCAGGAATTTTTTACTAGTCAACGATGAAAAAGTGCTGACTATATTTTATTTTTTTTTATTTCATTAAAAATACTCAAAGTGTATAAAAAGATAGTAAATGAGAATAGGTAAATGAGAAATTTTCAGTAAATAATCGTGATGAAAAATTTGAAAAAAATATTAATTATTGTAATTTTTTTTATTTCAAAGTAAAATCATAAAAAATTAATCAGACTACAGGCAATCAACAGAGATCCATCATTTCAATAATTTTCAGAAGAGTTTATGGCTTACAAGTGTTGAATTTTTTTCATAGTCTTAAATGAAAAACCATAATACTTTTTGATTATGAAAAATATAATAATCAATATTGTTTTTTTTTTTTTTAGAGTGACAAAAACTTTAATTATGGAAAAATTGTTTGTTATCAAGAAAAATTGTTATGAGATATTTTTTTTAACAATTCAATTTTTAGCAATTTCTTTTCATGATTTTTTTTATACAGTTAATCAATTTCACCGTAATTTCGAAATCAAGAATTTCGTAATCATCAAAAATTTGAATCATTTATTACGATTATTATTTTGAAGTCCTGGAAAAAATATAACTTTATTTAAGCTATTTTTATCTGTAC